TCCTGTATAACATTTTCTATCATCTATCAGTTGCTTTTCATCACAATGACTCAAATCATGGGTCTATGGCAATAAGTAAATAAATAATAATATTATCTTGAATTTTTATTAGATAAAGCATTGTCAGCCATTGTAAACTTTTGATGAATATTTCTTTCATCTTAATTTCAATTGCTTTTCATCTCAACTACTCAGATTATCAGTCTATGGTTATAAGTAATGATATTAATTAATTTTATTAATACCATTTACTCCTGTCCCCATAGTAAGTCTGATGAGCTCAAAATGGCAGCTGATATCCAAAATGACCATCAATCTGTTGTTAATTGGGGCAAAGGATGACTTATTAATTTTAATACTTCAAAAACTAAATTGCTCTCTATTAATAATCTGAGAGAACTCTCTCTGCCTTTCATCAGCATGGCTGATGCTGACCTCCAGGAGTATGATTTGTTGCACCTTCTTGGGCTAACATTCTTGGGAGGTATGAAGTGGAAAGATTATATTGAATCCATTGTTAGGTCAGCTGCTAAGAAATTTGGATCACTATAATAACTTTTCTTTCTAGAATCTATTTTATATATCTATAAGTCTACCATTACATGCTTAGAATATTGCTGCCACATATGGTCTGGAGCTTCTGCTATTTATCTAGAGCTCCTTGATAAAATCCAAATAAGAATCAGCAATATTATTGGTCCTAATCTGGTGGCTCAGCTTCAGTTACTTCCTCATTGCTGCAAAGTTGCCTCCCTTTGTCTTTTCTATAAATACTTTCGTGAAATTATTCAGGTGAGCTTTTCACCATGATGCTTAGACTTTTGGAGTTTGTCAAGATCTTATCAATTTACAGATGTTACTGTATATTCTATGCTAACAGTTTCTTTTCTCACAGACGCACCGTCGCCTCTCTCTGTCTGTTTTACAAATACTTTCATGGCAATTGCTCCGAGGAGCTGCATTCGCTGGTTCCCAGACTTCATGAGTTCAAACGCCCTACGAGGCTGGCATCCCACTCCCACCCTTTCACTGTCGAAACTCTTAAATGTAGCTGTCTCTTCTACTCAAATAGCTTCATGTCTCGCACTTCTCACCTCTGGGACTCCCTTCCCTATTCCAGTTTCCCTGAGAGCTATAATCTCCAACTATTCAAATGTAATGTCAATCGACATCTCCAGTTGCCTTGATCTATCCACTACCCTTCTCCTCATCCTTTCTTCTATCAATCCTATCTGATCTTGCTCCAAATTTTCTGTAACCCCTTGCGTCCTAGTGGCTTCTTGCCTTGCTTGGGGTGAAACGCTTAAAAAAAAACAAAAAAAAAAAATTCTCACTTGTGAAATACTTTTCTGGCTGCATGCTTTCCAGCCAACTTTAATCTGTAAAAATTTAAAAGCAATGTCAATCGTTATCTACTGTCCTCCTGATTACTCTTCTTTTGTTCTTCCTTCTTAGCAATGTTCATGTTTCTAATTCTTCCACACCCAGTAACCCGATGTGTTTTAGTGGCTTTACTGCATTGTATGGGGTGAACTCAATTAAAAACAAAAAACAAAAACAAAACATGTTTTTGAATAAATATAGATTGTTCAGGATCATCCTATATTAAGGGGCATAACTCATGGTTAAACTAGTTTCATTACACATACTATATTTTCACCCTCAAGATGACAGTACAGATATTTGTAGCAAGGAAGCATAGATATGTGGTTAGCAACAGGCACACAAAAGAGACAAAAGAAAAAGAGAACAAAATATATACATATATATATATATATATATATATATATATATATATATATATGTAGTAATATATGTGAAAAGAAAAAGAGTTTTTTCTACAGAGAAAACTAACAGTTCACTGTGTGATTTATAAGTTTAATCTGTTTGGTGATTTTAACTTACAACTTAAACATCACAACTCTGATGAGTTGTTTCCATTTTTTGTTGTTACTGAGCTCTGTTGCTTAGATTATATTTTTGGGATCTGTTCACCTAGGGGTACTGATGTTGATTCAGGCACTACTTGCTTATTTGGATTTTCATCAACATTGTCTGATGGCAGTGGAAACTATAAGGTGTCCTCATTTAATTGGTAAGTCCTTTTCTAGTAAGTTCTTTTTGCATTCCCTGGTTTTAGTTATTTTAACTCCTGAACTCCCTGTTTTGGAATGTCCTGTATCAAGGCAAATAACTCATGATTAACTAATTTCCTCATTTTTTTTACCAATGCTCATATTGCAATTTTTGTTAAAACCATGCAATGATAACAGCAAAAATTGCAATATGAGCACTGGTAAAAAAAGGTTGCTGAAGACATTAGGTTTATAATACCCAGAAATTCATACACGGATGTCTTCAAGGACACATGACACAGTGGGTAAAGGTGTTAGTTAGATCCAGTGACAGGACCCTAAGAGTGTAAGTTCAATACCTGGTCAATGATAAGGCAGTGGAGAACTTTGAGGGGAGTTAACAAGAGGTAACTGATAACTGGCATCCATTAAACATAGCACGTGGAACGAGTGAACGAAATAAATTCCAACCACCTGAAGAAAGCTGGAGTGTAATAAATATGGCGACAGATGAAGACAATAGTCTGAATAATGTAAATAGTGTACATAATACCTCATCTCAGAAATATAGACAGATGCTGAAATTAAGATGAAAGAAATACTAGTTAAAAGTTAATAATGGTAGACAATGATTTAACTAATAACAATACTAATATCCACAGACTGGTGGTCAGACCAGTTGGGATGAAAAGCAGCAAATATAAATAATTCAAATATTTACAATAGTTGACAATATTTCATTGGATCAAGGTTAAAGGTAATATTATCATGAATAATATTCTTAGTAATATAACATTATATTTAGTGTAGGTAGTTCTGGTTAAAAACAACTAAAATTTAACATAAAAGAAATACTTTCTGTCTGAATTTTTTTGATGAGGCATTATCATTATTTACATTTTTACTATTGTCCTCATCTTTGTTGATATATCACTACTTTTTGGCTGTTTTTCCCTTCAGCTTTCAACAAGTGTATATCAATCCAGGTAATCTATAGGAAATTCAAATTCACAAAGTTCTCTACAGAGAATTGTTCTACTTGATAAAAGCCTAGTGAAGAGAACAATGTACCCACATATTTTAAATAAATGGTTCATTTTGGCTGATAAAGACTGGAGGGTACAACACCCAAGATGTTGTGTTAACAATAACAGAGACGAGGACAATAGTCTAAATGTAAATAGTGTAAATAAAAGAAATACTTGTCAAAAACTAATAATGGTTGACAAGGCTCCAAATCATAAACATAAAAGATAATATTATTACTAATAATTGTAAACTGAGTCCTTGCTGAATAGATTCAAGCACTCTTTAGAGCCTAAGATGAACTTATTTTTTCTCTCATGAGAAATTAACCTGGGACCAGAACTATATGCAATTAAATCCACCCAATTTTATGTTGTCCATGGTGTCAGGAGCAACAAGTTCTATATCATGTCAGCCTACATTCTTCCACAGGTCTCAGTATCTCGTAAAAGTAGTTGTCAAGTCCTGGATTAAGGTGGGCATTCTACATGTTCTTACAGGATTCTGTTCCCTTCCGGAACATATGTCCAAGAATTTTCATAAACATTTCACCCTCAATGTTTAGTCTCCTAGCTCTCTTGATTTTAACCCCTAGACATCTGTATATAGAGTGTTATCAAGATAGAGATCAATAAACAGCCCCACCATGGCAATATTTCATTGAAGACTGTTGTCATAAATGTGATAGCCAACATAAATTAGAACCACCTGACCCAGACATGCAATTACCTCTGAGAATACATTCATCTTTTATTGAGGCAATGGTCTCATAGAATAAAATTTTTCTGTTTTACTAAGTTGGACATATGTATAATTTTTATAAGAAAATATGTTGATCTTCTTTTCTGTTGAATATCTGTGTTTTCTTTATATTATTAGTTCTCAATTATCTGACGAACCATACACAATACCTGTTTTCAGTTAAACTAACTCCTTTACCTGCAGGTTTAATTATATTTTCTTTTGCATAAAATTAATTAAATTATTCTCTTCAATCTGATTTTACTGATCAAATCATGAAATTTTAAATTTGCACTAATTATAATATTGATGTTAATTACCTTTGCCAAATCATTACTGTTTTTTACTGTTAAACTGTATTTTTTAAGCCAGTTTACCAAATTCTCAAGAGACTGCCAACACATTTCAGATACTTGACAGTAAAAATGAAAAAAATGTGGACCTTCAGGCCAATGTTCTAATCATTTAACAATTATTGAGATGGACTAAAGCTTTAAAAAGTTTAGCAAAAATAAATAAAGGAAAGAAAAAGATAAAGAAAAATAATAAAAAAATAAGCAAAATAAAAACAAAAGCAAAAAAAGTAATTTCATTGATAAAAACACACCCAAATTAATATACTATCTTTGTTTTTGTTATTGCTATGTCAGCCCAGAATGGTATTATTATCTAATATTTTCCTTTCTTTCTTTCTTTCCTTTTCCCTCTTCCTTCAACTCTTTTGACTATTACTCAGTCAATTCCTCACTTTTTCTTTTACTCATTCACTCCCTTTCTCTTCCCACACAATAATTCATTCATTAATACATTCACTCATTCATTGATATCTGGGACTTCCGCCAGAGTCATACAATGGCTGCTCTGGTTTCTACTGTCTTTTATGACACTGCAACTGGGCTGCAACCAGGCTGCAACCAGGCTGCTTGATTAGCACATACTTCATTTGGCACATGCTCTTCAGGCTTTGGGCACGCAATGAAGAGTCAGTGAGAGAAAAAACAGTCATGAAAGTTGAAAGTAAAAAATAAAAATAAAAATAAGAGAAAGTTTAAGGAAAGGACAAATAGAATAAATGAAAAGTATATATATATATATATATATATATATATATATATACATGAAGATATAAATAATAACAAACTGAAATAAACAAATAGATCAAAATGAACAGAATGAGATAGATAGATAGATAGATAGATAGATAGATAGATAGATAGATAGATAGATAATGAACAGATTGTTATAGATAGATAGATAGGAAGTCTGAGATAAATAAATAGATAGATTTGAAGAGACTGGGATAGATAGAAACATAGAACCAGATTGTGATAGATAGATAGATAGATAGATAGATAGATAGATAGATAGATAGATAGATAGATAGATAGGGACTGACCTAGATAGATGGGAACAATGAGATAGATAGATAGATAGATAGATAGATAGATAGATAGATAGATAGATAGGGACTGACCTAGATAGATAAATAGATAGATAGATAGATAGATAGATAGATAGATAGATAGATAGATAGATAGATGGGAACAGAATGAGATAGATAGATAGATAGATAGATAGATAGATAGATAGATAGATAGATAGATAGATAGATAGATAGATGTAAAGCCTGATACTAACAGATAGATATGAGTAGTAACCAATAACATCACAATAAACTGAAAATTAGATTAAAATTAATCCAAGAGTCAGGTATTTATTTTGCAAAACTGGTGATTATTCAATAAATATAAAGAAATATTTGTATACATTTAAAAAATTATTTACAGACCAATTTTTCCATAAAAATATTGTATTATTCAGAGTTTTCTTTATTACAAATTTACCCATAACAAATGAAATGTGCTTTGTTTTTCTTTTATGTTACTGTTTACTATTACACAATTACTGTACATAACCAGTGTTGCTGAAAATGGATGGAATAATGAAAATAACAAAAAATATTGTATAACAGACATTTCATAATTATTCATTTTATTTCCTTCATTTTCTTGCACTTAATAGTTTATATGGAACTATATTTCAGGTCTATATGGAATAATTTGATTCTAGCAAAATCTTATTTGATCACAATTGAATGAGTACTTATTTCACTATTGGAATTTATTGAAAATCAGGAAGAAATAAATTGTCAGTGGCCAGGAATAAATGCACGTATTACTGATAGAATAGGGTCATTACATGTGTAATGTAAATGCATAAAAATCAGAATAAACTTCTAACATCTCTGCTTGATCTCTGAAATATTATTTACTAATTATTTTTTCATCATCAATAGGATTAGATAGGTTTACCTATTGTCCGGTTCATACTCCTCCCCAGTCTTTTGAACAGTAGAACAGAAGTTTATGTCTTGTTCACTGTTTAGAATTGGTTTTCTGGTTCCTTCTAAAGTCTTTTCATTAACTTTCTCTCCCAGCAGTTCCTTGTGTCTCAGTTGAATTATCACCTTGTTTGCAGTGAATTGATTAAAAAACAAAACAAAGGTATTGTGAGTTGTCAGGAATGAATGCAAGCATTACTGATAGAATAGGACTATTAAATGCATTGCTAATGATTTTACTATATGAAGTCATTGAAAATCAGTAGGAAAAAATTGTTAGTGATCTGGAATTAATGTAAAAATTATTGATATATGCATAATGTAAATTGTTTTACTGAATATCTGCAGTGAATATTAGGAAGTAAGAGATTATGAGTGGTCAGGAAATAACACACTAATAACTTATAAAATAGGGCACTATCATTGATATGATATCATATATGATATTTGTACCACTTATAAGTGTCTAAATGTCAAGACTATAAACTCATTACCTAATCACTTTATAATAACTACTGTAGGATATACTTAACTGATTCTTAGACTATATGTAATTTTAGTTTCTATGAATATGATAATTTAGGCTACGTTGTAGTTATTTTTGCATTTGCAAAAACATAAACCTTAATGAAGTAGTAAATTTGTGTATCCTTCATTTAGATCACAATTATTCCAGTCTATACTTTCTTAAGAGCTAGTAACAATCTTATTTGCAAATATCTGGTGGATAAAGTACTAAATTCATGTAGTCTTCATGTAGATCACAATTAATGTCCAAGTCTATGCTTTCTTAATAGCTAGTAACCATATTGTTTTGAGTGACTGTTGAATGTTTCTATTCTTTTGTATTTGCATATTTGTGTGTATTTATGAGAGTGTGAGTGTTTAACAAGATGAATCCTTTGTGTGTAGTAGTAAAATATGCACCATGATTCATTTAGACAAGTTTTTCATCCTATATTTATTTTGTCAACTACTAAAAGTACCTTGATTTCTTGTGTATAGATTTAGTTACAGATCTGTGACAAGAGTTACTAGGAGTCTTCACAAGACAGATTTTAAAGATAAATTAATATGAAGGTCAGAATAGTCCACTGGTGACTTAGAGATAATGAGAGGAATGTAATACAAGGAGGCACGGTGGAGTAATGGATAGCGGCTTGGATTGAGGAATCGGAGAGCCGAGTTCGAATTCCAGTCGAATCCATTACATTCACTTACGTGCTAATACCCTTGGAAAAGGTGTGAATCCTCTTTCTTCTCCCTCCAGCTATGGGTAAATAGCAGGACAGACTGGGTTCTATAGCCTTGGATGGCAACTGGTCTAGGAGAAGGAAAACTCTGAATTCAAAACCTGCTCTTAGATGAGGGTGAATGGAGTCTCTCTGAGCCTTGGTTGGCAATCCATTTAGTGATGGTGTCATGATAAAAAACACCCTTGATAGCCCTAGCGAAGCATCAAGAATTCAGCTATTGACAAGATTATGAACTACACCAATCAAAGTATTAGTGAGTTCAATCTCAGCTGAGGCTGCAAGATGATGATGATGATGAATACAATCTGTATTAAATGAAAGAAAACCAAAAAGTTTTTGCTATGATTCAAGATTTGGATTGATAAGGATGTTACCATTCAAAGGTTTTATATCTTTCCTAATACAATTATTGAGATTAATTTTAATAATATGGAAAAATATACTGTTGTAATATAACTGCAATCAGCTTAACTCGATATTGAAATGAATAACAATACAAAAGATAAAAAAGTGTTATGTACTTTTTATCTAGGATTTGTTAGGATTAGTTGAACCAACACTAGTTAATTGAATTACATTCATCTAAAAGCATTAACCTAAAACTTGAGTCATAGGTTTCTTTTTACAACAACTTGTCAGATTGAGATATATGAATGTTGCCAAACTTGTTCAGAAATATCTAAACTGTCAGTTATTTACAACCACTTTGACTGAAGATTGATGATTAAAAAGATGGTTCCAAGTAAATGAAGATCATAAGTATTAACAAAAATGAATAGGTTCTATATCCTTGTGCTAGTTTATATTAACAAATTCCAAAGAAAGAACCAAATAACAGAAACAACATCATTTGAGGACTTTCAAAATGTAACGACTAAAATTCCATTACATCTCATTTGAAGAGAGAAGTAGTTCTTTTGACATAAAATGATGTTCATTCTACTAATTACTTCTAACAAAATTTAGGAAGGAAGATTCAGATACTGTATTCAGTAATAGTTACCAACAGCATGACAAAATGTATTTGTCTGAAAAATTGTTTTAAGAAAAAATTATATAAATTTCAAACAAAAGTAGCACTGGCTGTTTGGTCAATGAATGTAGAATGTTTCCTTACAAGAAACAGCTAACATTACCTTTACTATTGACATGAGTTTTAGTGGTCTTTCAGCCAAGTGGTTAGAATGTTAGTGTTCTGAGCATGAGATCTTCATTTAGATCTTATCATGATCATTTTCTCAAGGATATTATTAGCCTAAAGAGAAAATCCCAATCTTTTTTTTTTGAAAAATTCCATGAAAAACCAACATTACTTGTAATAACCTTGTTCAACCAGTCACTGTCATAGATATGATATTTTAAGTCTGATTTCCAGAAAATGTATGATATAAATGTACTTCATTACTATATGGTTTCTCAGGTTTTAATTTTCTGGGTGTTGACTTAGTGAGTTGAACTAAATGAATGTTGATTTTTAACACTATCACATGAATACAGTTTCTGAAATATGTATAAGCATATACCATATTTATTTTGCACATACATACAAATCTTGTTCACAGATGAGTTTGGTTGTAGCTCATCTCCCAGGTGTGATAATTCATGAAGATGACAAAAGATCATTTTCTTAATGATAGTGGTGAATAAGGACATCGGTTGCTCTTGGTATATCATCTTTAAACCTTCCATTCTCAAATCTTGGACTGGAAATTTCGACTGAATATGGTTTCTATTTGCAGCAACATGTCTTTCTTTTGTTCCTTGGGTTATTACTTCATGTGACAGTGTATCTGATATCAATGCTGCAATTGTCATTCATATAACATTATCTTTGCCTGATATGAAACATATATCAGAAGTATACTGGTAAATAAAGTCCAAGTGTTGAATTCTGTGTGATGTATATTGGTTGGATGTTGTTTGTAAGGTGTACATCAGTGGTTTGTGATCTGTGTATATCATGAATTCACAACCTTCCAAATGTGCCTGAATTGTTTTATTGACAGATAAATTGCCAGTAATTCCTTAGAGAACATGCTATATTTCTGTTGTGTCATGTTTAACTTAACAGAGAAAGACAAAAATGGTACTGCTCCTGTCTGATGGATATCTGCTCGAAACACATTTGAAGCATATCAGTCGTGAACCTAATTTTAGTGCTGTTATCTTTTTTGAGATGTTGGTGCTCCCCCCACTCCCATAAGGTTTGATAAGGCTGACTTACTGTTGTCGAAAGTTTTTAGTGCTTGTCCTAGTAGTGCCATTTTCACATTTTTCTTCATTCAGCTTTTTCAGCAAATCTGTCAGGAGTAATAAAATAGAATAACACTGACATATAAACCATCAGTAGTGATTATTAATTAGAGCAATAAAACATCACAGTTGGCGAAGGAGTATCATTTATTTAATGTTTTGGATAACTTTGACTTTTTCAGGTATTGGCACTATCCCTGTCTCATCTATCTGATGCCCCAATTTGATTGTGTTGTCTACTGATAGGGTGGAGCTAATACCTGTACAGCTGTGACTAGGACAAATTTCTCTTATGGAGAGCTCTGTCTGATTGTCAGTGAGGGATTGAGTAGCCATGTTAACTGATAAATTAATATGGGTTAAAAAGTCTGCACCTAATATTGGTGTAGTGATGTTGGCTTGGAGGAGTATCTTTAGAAAATGTCAATGCATTCCTAAGTTTGAATTAGAAGCTTTTCTTTGAAGGTGTCAATTTTAATACCATTAGCAGCTTGTAGCTTATATGATCCTGGTACTAACTTTTGTCATGGATCTAGTGTCAAATAAGAAATTATATCTGTGGTTTCTATAACAGATGTACTGGATGGAATTATCATTTCCCTGTATGCTAATGTTGGCAAAAGTGTAGGGTTGGCCACATTTTTCATGTTTTGAATCCAGAACTGTGATCCATATAGTATACCAGCATATGTTAAACTTAGATCTTTGAATCTGTTTCTGAATTTCATGTTTTTTCGTTGGGGTCACACAATAAATATTGGATCGTATTTATCTATGGCCTATGGCTGAGATTAATCAATAATGGGATAGCTTGTGTTGGCTCGGCCTGACAATCTATGGACAAGTCATGACCAGCTTTGACTAGGCTCTGACCAGCTTGGGCAAGCTATCATATTTTTTTGGACCAGTTTTTTTTTTTTAAATATCGGGTCTCCCATTATTTAAACGACCTTGCATATTACATCCTGACCCCAAGAAAGGCCAAATAAATACCCATGTCTCTTGGATGTTGACTCATTAAGAGAGAATGTAAGTGGTTTGCCAGACTAGCTACTGTAGATTTGCAACTGCTAAAAACTTTTGTTTGTGTGTAAATATGAGTTTCTATGTCACATACTTGTTCGTCTATCATGAAATCCAATGTGAACACAGTTTGTATATTCAGAAATCTTTTACAGGTCTTCTACCATGTCTTTCATTGTAGGCACCAGTATTTAGTTGAAGCACAAAATAAAACAAAAACAATCTTTTAATAAAATATACTTCAGACATGATGTTCACTGTAAGTTCTAGGGTTTTTCATATGTTGCAGAAGCTAGAAAGTAATTCAATCATCTAAAACATTATGAACAGCTCTCAAAGTTTATTTTCATTGGACTGGCCAGCCCTTGCATCTGTCTCATTGTCCACCACAATCTGGGTCCGATGCCTTCATTTCTCAGGCATTATGATAACTAGGTGTTCATCCACAATTTCCAGATTTTTTTTTCCACAATGTACCTGCATCATACTCTTGTTGATGTTATTTTCCTGGTATTGAAGAGTGCCTGTAACTACATAAACCATGTTTGGACATTTTGTGCATTGTACAAAGCAAATTCAGGATTAGCAAAGCTTCTGTGGGGGTTTGAAAATGTGATAGTTTCCATTTTTAAAAAGTTAATTTTTAAATGTTAAAAGTTTGTTTCACATGGTATGAATACGGTGTGTTGGTGTGTTGCTGAAGAGAGTGAAAGAAAGGCCTAAGGGGAGTGCCAATTTCGGCTGGGTAGTAATAAACTGCCTGTTGGATTTCAGTAGGGAGGGGTTGGTATGTCTGTCAGCAACTATGAGGTAAAAAGAAGGATTAGGGAGGTAAGTGTTCCAGGAAGTTGATAAGAGTAGTTATGAGTCACCATCTTTGCTTTTGGTTAAAAAAAAAAAAAAAAACTAGATTTTTTTGAAATCAGTTCTCTGTATTCCACATGTTTATGTATTAGCTGTTAATATTCTTTCAGAAAGGCATTTTTCATTTGATGTTATTTGTCACCATGTTGACAAATAAATGAAAAAATTTCAATTTGTTTTGTCAATAAGGTAAAATCTTCTAACTATAGAAACATGAATAAACACAAATATGGATTTATAGCTTCAATCAAAACTATTCAGGCATGGAATACTGGTGTTTTAGAAAAGAAAAATTCTAGTCTCTATCTACAATTCTTCATTAGGGAATACCCTCCATCTCATAAATCAGAACTCAAGCTTTTTTGGGAGCATATTTAGTTTTTAGTATGCAAATCATCATCAAATAAATTTAATTAATAAAATTATTTCTCATAATCAAATTCTTCATCCAATGTAGTAGTGGAATTTCAAAGCACCAACGTTTCCTGCAATGTCGTCCATGGTCAGTTAAAAAATTGCTTCTCCTTTGAAACTGGAAGTTTGCTATCTGCTTAAATGCTGATTTTCCTCTGCTTATATTGATAGAGATAGCCTCAACTTGAACACAACTTTAGATTCTTGATCTCTTGTTTGATTTTGGCCAATGTTGAATCCTTAGTTCTGATTTATTGGTTTTGTTATTTTACTGAAACTACATTTGCATATTGTTTATGTTACAACATTTAAACATCTAAGTTAACTAATGCCTTAATCCTGAATACATCTGTCCATGCATGGGAAAATATCTTTTAGGTTTTTGGTGGTGCAATAGTTCATCTTTAGACAAAAGTAAATTAGACAATTTTCGATGGTCTATAATAAACTATCAGGTCATCCCATAAGTTCTGTCCAAATTTTGAATAAAGAAAACAAGTGACCAAATGTTACATTTAATTACAGATTCAATCAACAATGTATTTTCCCTGATTATCTATGACTTCCTTCCATCTATTAACAAGCTTACTAATTCCATTACTGTAAAATTCTTTTGGCTTTGATTCAAAGAACTCACAAATGTCAGTTTTAACCTCTTCCTGTGTTACAAAAGCTGTTTCTTCCAAATGATTCTGTAAGCTATGAAACAAATGGTAGTCTGAAGGAGCAAGATCGGGAGAATAAGGTGGATGAGGAATTTTCTCCCAACCAAGTTCTTCGATCTTTTGTGATTCTTGCTGTGTGTGGTCGCGCATTGTCCTGATGAAACATCACCTCTTTTCGATTCACTAGAGCAGATCATTGCTGACAGTATATTTGAGCATTAATTGTTGCATTAGGTGGTAAGAATTCAAAGTGGATTATTCCTTGGTGATCCCACCAGATTGAAAGAAGAACCTTTTGCCCATGAAGTTCCCTTCTCGACTGTGGCTGGGTTCCTTCCCCTTTACCAAGCCACTGTCTACAATGCTTAACATTTCGGTAAAAGATCCATTTTTTGTTGCCAGTCACAAGTCTATCCAAAAAAGGTGAAACAAGTTGGCGAGAATGAAGAGAAGAGCAGATGTCAACTCAGGATTTGAGGTTGTTTTCAGACAATTTATGAGGCACCCATTTTCCAAGTTTAGGAACTTTTCCAAGTTGTTGAAGATGACAATGAACAGTTGTATGGTTTGAACTGAGAACCACTGCCAATTCCTCAACTGATAAAGCAGGATTTTCTTCAAGGGCTGCTTCAAGAAGCTTTTCATCAAACTCAACTGGACGTCCAGTTTGATCTTCATCTTCAAGGGTGAAATCTCCACCTCTGAATTTTGCAAACCATCTTCTGCAAGTTCTTTCATTCACACATTCCTCTCCATAAACTGAGTGAATGTTTCTAGCCGCTTCGGCTGCTGAGTTTCCTTTCTTGAACTCATAAAGCATTATGTGCCTCAAATGATTCTTGGGTACTTCCATGTTAGCAGGGTTTTAATCAAGCAAAATTTAATTTTATTGTTCTCTGAAATAAAATTTGATCAGTTTAAATGCATTTAAACATAAAAATAATGTTCAGCTCCATTAGACATTATAATATACCCTTTAAATTTTGTTCATTTTAAAAAAGTTAAAATTCGGACAGAACTTCTGGGATGACCTGATAAATTAAATACATAACAAAAATATTATTTTGATGGCCTGCTTTGAATAAATAAAAACATCATTTTGGTAGACAACTTTGAACAAGATTAAATGTATAATAAGGACATTTTAAATGCTGTTTGAGATGTACATTATGGGACTTTCCAATAGGTAAGATTTAAAATGAGTTGACACTACTGGCCATCTTCTAAGAAAATCAGAATTACATAGACATATCCCAACAAGAAGGGACAACCCAAGATCGTGAACTCAACACTGCGACAACTCAAGATCAAGACAACTCAGCAGTATAAAAACATAACTTGTTTTTATAAATGATTTATTAAGGATTAAAACCTTAATTAGTGAATATTTTTTAAAATCATTCACTAAATCATTTTAATTCTTAATAAATTACTTTTATTCAATTATAAAAAAGCTATGTCTTTTTTGGTGCTGAGTTGTCTTGGTTCTCCCAGCACTCAGCTGGTGGCGTTGAGTTGGTGGTGTTCATTCAGCAGTGTTGAGTTGGTGGTGTTCAGTCGGCGATGTTGAGTTTGTGATGTTAAGTCAGTGGAGTTGAGTTGGTGGTGTTCAAGTCAGCGATGTTGAGTTGGTGGTGTTGAGTTGGTGATGTTGAGCTTGTGATGTTGAGTTGGTGGTGTTCAGTTGTTGGTGTTCAGTCAGTGGAGTTGAGTTGGTGATGTTGTGTTGGTGATGTTGAGAGGGTGGTATTCAGCTGGTGATGTCGAGTTGGAAATGTTGAGTTGGTGATGTTGTATTGGTGATGTTGAGAGGGTGGTATTCAGCCGGTGATGTCGAGTTGGAAATGTTGAGTTGGTGATGTTGAGTTGGCAGTGTTGAGCTGGTGATTTTGAGCTGGTAAAGTTGAGCTGGTGATGTTGAATTGGTGATGTTGAGCTTATGATGTTGAGTTGGTAGCATCGAGTTGGCGATGTTTAGTTGGTGATATTGAATTGGTGGTGTTCAGTTGGTGATACTGAGTTGGCAGTGTTGCTTTGGTGGTGTTTAGTTGGGGATGCGTTGGCGATATTGAGTTGGTGGTGTTGAATTAGTGGTGTTGAGTTGGTGGTTTCATGTTGGTGATGTTGAGTTGGTGGTGTTCAGTCAGCAGTGTTGAGTTGATGGTGTTGAGTTGATGGTGTTGAGTTGGCAGGGTTGAGTTGGTGGTGTTCAGTCGGTGGTGTTGAGTTGGCGATGTTGTGTTGGCAGTGTTGATTTGGTGATGTTGAGTTGGTTCTGTTGAGTTGGGGATGTTGAATAATGAATGACTCCTTTGATATTGGGTGTAGCAAAATGTTTGTTTAGAAGGTGAACATTGGTAGCAATCTGGAAAATTGTCCATTTTGTCCCAGTATTCAAAAGTTTAGAAGTCAGCACTTGATGGTAGTCATAGGCATCTTAGAAATAGGTCAGCACCAATCTGCTGTATTTTTCTTGGTCCTAAGTAGGGTAGAAATATCATTAGCAGATGGCCTCCTGACTACTACTTCATGCATCATGCATGGCTAGTTTCTCTAGTGGTCACATCTCTTATTATCACACTCCTGCCATCCTCCTGCTTCTAGCTTAGAAATATCAGCTTATATCTTTTAATCCAGACTCTGAGATTCTGGTGGAAACATTGGTTTCAGCTAACATCAAAAGTTTCTTTGTGTCAATTTATTTGATTGGCAAAATTATTTTATTTTCTGGTGTTCCTTTCTTTTTCATCTTTTTTATAACAGAAATTATGCATGGAGCCTCCCTGACTTTTGGTATTTTTCAGTCACAAATAAGTAGGGTTGATTCCTGCAAACTTTCAGGGTCTTGGCCAGGATCAATCTTTCCTTCTTCTTTCTAATTTAGGGTTGCTTTCTCTCATAGGTTGAGAGAAGTATAGAAAAAGAAGTTTAGAGAGAGAGAGAGAAAAAAAGAGATAAGGTTTTAAAGGAAAGCACAAATGCCTTATTTTAATTTGAATTCTTTTTATTTTTGTTTTTATTTTTATATTTTATTTTTATCAGGACTCACTACACATTTTTCCAATGTGGCTATTTTTTTAAATAAATTAGAATTAAATAAAAACACACATTAGTAGCAATATAAGAACTAGATGAGAATTACATGAACATATTTTCTATAGGATTTCTTTGAACTAAATTAGAATTGCATGCAAATAGTTTCTGATGACTATCTTTAAAATAAATGATAATGACATAAAGACACATACGAATGACCATCTTTCAACTAAATGAGTATTATATGAAAGCACTTTCTATTGGCAGATTCTAAGCTAAATAATATTTATATGAAGACATTTTTCAGCAGCCATCTTTGAATTAAATGAGAAATACATGAAAACATTTTCCAGTAGCTATCTTTGAAATAAATTAGAAATGTAGTTTCCAGTAGTAATCTTTGAATTAAATGGGAAATACATCAAAACACTTTCCAGTGGCCATCTTTCAATTAAATGAGAAATACATAAAGACACTTTCCAGCAGCCATCTTTGAAATAAATGTGAAGTATATATAGATAATAACAATCTTTGAACTAAGTGAAAATTATATAAAGAACATTGTAGTTACCATCTTTAGACTAAATGAGAATGACATGGAGCCATTTTCCAGTTGTCATATTTGAACTAAAGAGACACATTCTGAAAGCCATCTTTGAATTAAATTAAAATTATATGAAGACACATTCATATAGTTACCTTTGAACTAAAGGAAGATTACAAGAAGACTCTTTCTAATGATAATGTTAAAACTAAATGGGAATTATATGAAGACACTTTACAATGGTTATCTTTATACTAAATGAAAATTACATAATCTCATA